CTCCTCCTCCTCCTTCCTCCTCCTCCTCCTCCTCCCTCCTCCTCCTCCTCCTCCTCCTCCTCCCCTCCTCTTCCCTCATCCTCTCCTCCTCCTCCTCCTCCTCCTCCTCCTCCTCCTCCCTCCTCCTCCCTTCCCTCTCCTCCTCCTCCTCCTACCTCCTCCTCCTCCTCCTCTTCCTCCGCAACCCTCCTCCTCCTCCTCCTCCTCCTCCTTCTCCTCCTCCGCCATCCTCCTCCTCCGTCCTCCGACTTCCCTCCCCCCTCCTCCCCGCCGCAGAAGGGAGGGGCCGGCGAGCGAGCGGCGGCTCCCAGCAGCGAGAAGGCGAGGGCCAGGACGTCGGGCTTCGGCGCCCCGCGGGAGCCCTCGGGGCCGCCTCTTTCTATCTGTTCTCGGAGCGCGGGAGGGCAAAGGAGGAGGAGGAGGAGGAGGAGGAGGAGGAGGTAAGGAGGAGGAGCATGAGGAGGAGGAGGAGGAGGAGGAGGAGGAGGAGGCTCCGAGGCTCGGAGTCTCGGAGGCTAGGAGGCTCGGAGGACGAGGACGAGGGGGAAGGCAAAGCCAGAGGCCTTCCAAGTGGGGTCCGAGTAGGTGGGGTCGGCGGATAGCGCCGCATCACAGATGCATCGCCGATGCATCGGCGATGCATCGGTGATGTATCGTCGACGTCGGCGATGCATCGGCGACGTCGACGTGGAAAAAATCTGGATCCACACCGAGCCGCATGACCGATCAGCTATGCGGCGCGAACCTCCCACCCCATCTGCTCGGACATCATCTGGGAGGCCTAGACAAGCGTGTTCTCAGAATATATCTGGCACCGGCTGCCCACATGAAAGCGAGACACGCACTTCTACTGTACTCAGCGAGGGCGAACACTGCACGACGGGATGCCACGGCGATCAACTGTGCAAGATGCGTGTGCAAAGTCTTACTTCGCCGCAACCGCCTCAACATGTCATCGGGAACCACAGCCACCACTTTTCCCCCCAATCATCTTGTGGTGTTGGGCCCTCGTTGTCTCACCTTTCCCTCATTAACTCCTTCCTTCCTTTGTCCGCGCCCGCGTCCTCATTATCATAATGTGTTATTCATTCCTTCCCTCCCACCCACCCTACCTCCTTCTTTCCTTCCTTCCTTCTTTCATTCCTTCCTTCCTTCCTCTTCCCCTCGTCCCTGTCCTCCGATCCCCACCTCAACAGCGGTTCCCCTGCAAGGTGCGTCCACATGCGGTTGCCAGCCCATGTCTGTGCACCCCGCACACCCTCCGTGGCCCCATAAGAAAATCCCTGTCCCTCGTCCCACCTGCATTGTGATATTCACACTTGCATGTGGTTCGGCCCTTCGCCTGAATCAATCTCCCGGCGCACGGGAGGGAGGGAAGATCGTCGGACGTTTTCGGACGAACGTCGTCGCGACGTCTTCGGGGGCTCCCAGAAAGGTTACCCTACCCCGGGGTGCTCTTCAGCAGCTGCGCCTCGCCGAGAGCGTTCTGGGGGTGCCCGGATCTCCCGAACGGCCGCCAAAAACCCGAGTTATGTCCCGAGACCCACTAGGGACCCAGCCCTCCTCACACCGTGGAAAAAAATAAAACAAAAAAAAAACACGACGGACAGCTGTGGCTCATTTTCGGCCGCTGGGTGGCCTCGCCGGGCACCGGGGCCGTCAATGAACGGCTTGGGACGGAAAGCCAGCCCAGAGGAAAGAGTCGGGACTTCCAGCGACCCCGCAGTCAAGACGTCGGACCTCTGTCGGCATGGAGAGACGACGATGAGGGAGGAGAATCGAAGGGGAGGTAGCGAGAAATGAAGGGGGGAGGTGGGGGAGGAGAAGGAGGCGGAGGGGAACGCTGGGGAGAAAAGGAAGGGTACGAGGGGAGGGGGCAAGCTAGGTGCGTTCGCGCAACATCTGACATCCTACCTCTCCCTCCCATCCCTTATCATTGCGCTGAATCCCACCAGCCCTCTGGGCGTCGGTGGTTTAGAGCGTTTCCTCTTCCACCCCTCCTTCTTCCCCTTCGGGGAGGGGTTTACCCCTCCCCCTACCCCCCCCCCACTGACCTGGACAGGGGGGGCCGCGACGTGTTGGAGCGTCCAAGATGAGCCAAGACGACTCCAAGAGGGCCTCAGGGAGCCCAAGATCGCCTCCAAGATGGTTCAAGGTAGCGCAAGATGCCTCAAGATGGTTCCGAAGATGCTCCAAGACGCTCCAAGACCGCCCCAAGACGGCTCTAAGTGTCCACTAGAGCTCCCCTCGGATGCCCCCAAGAAGCCAAAATTTGTCAAAACCCTAGGGAAAATCCGCCGACCCCTTGGGTTCATCGGCGTGTGAGATGTTCCCCCTCCCCAAACCCCTCCCCCGGGAGCCCGGTCCGGTCGATTTGGAGGGGGGGGGGGGGGTCGGGCCGGATCCCCCGGATGGGAACGGAGGGGTCATCCGCTCCCGAAAATCGTGCAAAACCTCGTGAAAATCCTGCAGGGACGCCTCTGGTGGCCTCGACATGGCTCTGGGACGCCCAACGAGCGCTCCAAGCCGCCCAAGGTGGCCCAAAGACGGGCCACGGCAGAAGAGGCCCCCACGAGCCCCCCCGAGGGCCTCCGAGATGCGTTCCACGAGGGTCCCTAGACGCAAAAATTGGCCCATTCCCTTCGTGAAACGTACATGTTTCACAAGTTCGGTTTTGGGCCTTTCCGATGCTCCCCGACGGCCCAAGAGGCCCCCAAACCCGCTCCCAGACGGCCCCAGGAGCCTCGCAGAGGGTGCCCCACATACCCCTAGAGGGCCCCACTGTTCCCCCTCCCCAAACCCCTCCCCCGGGAGCCCGGTCCGGTCGATTTGGAGGGGGGGGGGGGGGTCGGGCCGGATCCCCCGGATGGGAACGGAGGGGTCATCCGCTCCCGGAAATCGTGCAAAACCTCGTGAAAATCCTGCAGGGACGCCTCTGGTGGCCTCGACATGGCTCTGGGACGCCCAACGAGCGCTCCAAGCCGCCCAAGGTGGCCCAAAGACGGGCCACGAGGCGTCCTCGACGGCAGAAGAGGCCCCCACGAGCCCCCCCGAGGGCCTCCGAGATGCGTTCCACGAGGGTCCCTAGACGCAAAATTTGGCCCATTCCCTTCGTGAAACGTACATTTTTCACAAGTTCGGCTTTGGGCCTTTCCGATGCTCCCCGACGGCCCAAGAGGCCCCCAAACCCGTTCCCAGACGGCCCCAGGAGCCTCGCAGAGGGTGCCCCACATACCCCCAGAGGGCCCCAAGACGGGCCAACAGGCCCAAGAGGGCTCCGAAAACGGCCCCGACAGCGCTCCAGGAGCGTTCCGAGTGGCCTCCACAAAGCTCCACACGGTCCCAGACGGTCCAAGAACGATCACAAACATCGACGACGGCCTCCCGACGGCTCAACAGGCCCCGAAGACGGCCCAAGAGGCATCCAAGATTCGCCCCAAGAGGCCCTCTAGACGCAAAAAATCGCCCGTTCCCTTCGTAAAACGTATATTTTTTCACACGTGCGCCTTTTGGGGTGCCCCCCGCTCCTGGACGGCCCCAGAGCCCCCCAAACCCGCTCCCAGACGGCCCAAGACGCCTCCAAGAGGGTTCCCCATATAGCCCTAGAGAACCCCAAGACGGGCCAACAGACGCCCAAGACGGCCCAAAAGGGCTCCGAAAACGGCCCCGACAGCGCTCCAGGAGCGCCCCGAGTGGCCTCGAAGAGAGCTCCACATGGTCCCCGACGGTCCAAGAGCGATCAACAACACTGACGACGACCTCCAGACGGCTACAGAGGCCCTCAAGACGCCCCAAGAGGCATCCACGATGCGCCACAAGAGGGCCTCTAGACGCACAAAAACGCCCGTTCCGTTCGTAAAACGTATATTGTTTCTCGCACGTGCGCCTTTTGGGGTGTTCCCCGCTCCTGGGCGGCCCCAGAGCCCCCCAAGACCGCACCAAGACGGTCCAAGAAGCCTCCACGAGGGCCCCGCGACAGCCCAAGAGGGCGCCAAGACGGGTCAAGAGGGGCCGAGGACGGCCCAAGAGAGCCCCGAAGACAGCGCGCGCGACTCGCGGTCAGATTCCTCGCAACTTGCGTTGCTTCCCGCCGTGCTCGTCACTTGCTTCCGCAGGGCGTTTCGGCGGGTCTTTGACCATGGCCTGAAACGATTGAAGGTAACCCCACGGCCGCCCCTGACGGTTCCAAAAGACACCGCAAAGCAGTTCTGAGGTCACCAAGGGCCTACCACAGTCCTCGGCAACAGATGGCGACGGCCAAGACGGCCGAAAAGAACGCCCAGAGCGCCCCATGACAGCCCAAGAGAGGCCGATGACAGCCCAAGAGAGCCCCAAGACAGCCCAATACTGCCACAGGACGGCCTAAGGGGCCCCAAGACAACCCAAGAATGCCCCAAGAATGGCCCAGGGGCCTCAGACCACCCAAAGAGGCGACCAGACCACTGCGCGATTCTTCATAAGGGGTCGGCGGATGTGGCGCAAGCCTGAAGAATCAATGTTTTTGGCGTTCTCGCGCTTTCGCTTCCGATGCCCACCCGAGGCGTCAAGATAGCTCCAAGATGGCTCAAGATAGCTCCAAGAAGGGCCCAAGAAAGCCCGAAGACGGCGCAAAGAGCGCCCAAGAGCGCTCCAAGAGCCCTCCAAGAGCGGTTCAGGAGGCGATTTTAGAGGCTTTCCAGGAGCGACGCTAATTAGTGCTTCCGCTTTCTTTGACAAATCCCCTCAGGATGGCCCCAAGATGGCCCCAAGAGGCCCCCCAAGAGGCCCCCAGGAGGCCCCCAAGAGACCCCCAAGAGGCCCCAAGAGACCCCCCAGAGGCACCCAAGGGGCAAAGATGGCCCCAAGAAGCGCCCAGGAGGCCCCCAAAGGCCCCAAGATGGCCCCAAGAGGCCCCAAGAGGCCCCCAGGAGGCCCCAAAGAGGATCCCGAACGGCCCACAGAGGCCCCCCCGAGGCACCCAAGATGCCGAAAAGCCCCTCAGGACGACCCTCTACTCGCCTGGGCGTCGTTTCCGGACGGGCTGGTGGGGATACGCGAAGCGTCTAGAATTTGCCTCATCCGCCAACAGATGTCATAGCGGACCTGGCATACCCACAAGGACCCCAACGTGTTACGCGCCATGTGAAAGGGGAGCTGCGCACAGTGAAGGAGGTGGAGGATGAGCAGGAGGATGAGCAGGAGGGAGAGGAGATGGATGAGGAGGGGAAGCGGGGAGGGGCAGGAGGACAAGGAAGGGAGAGGCGGGAGAGGGGAAAGGCAAGGGGCGACCAACGGCGAGGAAGCACTCGGATCCAGAAGCGTGGCCCGCGCGGGGGCGAGAGCGCCACTCACAGCGACGGGAGCAGAGCACCCATCTTGGAAC